AGAAAATCGCTAAATTTTGTAATTTAAAGAATTTATAAATTGAATTGAAAATTAATGTAACAGCTTAACTTAACTTAACCTAATTTAAATCATACTTCGTAATATGCATCATTTTCGTGTAATTTCGTGTAATTGAATCGATTAAAGAAGACCATAGATGGAAGGAGGAGATAAAAGTGATAAACGTCGCAACTTCTTCAGTCCTTTACAGTTTTTCACGCTGATTTTTCTTTAGATGAGGGATGCAGCTAATAAAAGTGAAGCTCGCAATTCCACGGTGTTTGAAGATAAGTAAAGTCTCCATCGGGATGTGGCTGGGGAAATTTGCAGCCAGTGTAGGCTGGGCTATTCCTCATCCGGGGAACACTCTCGCGAAGAAGCGGAATTTCACGAGAGTAACGTGCCACTTTATATTCACCGCGTATATTCCCACCAAACTACATCTTATTCAAATCGCCACGGTTTCCGTCCTTAGCTAAGTACTCGACGAAACTGCGGCTACTCCGACTATGTTAGGACGAAACTGGCAAAATTGTGAAAACATAAGACAGTTTTTTGACCGTTCTTCTTTCTTTCTTTCTAATTGAGGGAAATTGAATAGTATCGGTAAATTCGGAATTTTTTGAGAAGCTTCTGTGGCTTAACATTTGAAAACTTGGAATCTGGAAATTTGACATTTAGAAATTTGAAAATTTGTATATTGGAAATGCGAGACTTGGAAATTCGAAATTTGGAAGTTCGGAGTTTGGAAATTTTAAGTTTTGGATTCAGAATCTTGGAATGCGGAAATTTGGTATTTAGAAATTCTGAACGTCGGAATTTGGAATCTGGAACTTTAGAAGTTTGAAATTTGAAAATATGGATATTGGAAATGTGAGACTTGGAAATTCGAAATTTGGAAGTTTGGAATTTGGAAATATAAAGGTTCGAAATTTGGAAATATAAAGTTTCGAAATTTAGAATTTGGAAATTGGAAACTTTAAATTTAAAAATTTAGAATGCGAAAATTTGGTATTTAGAAATTTAGAATATGGAAATTTGGACCCTGGAAATTTGCAAACTGGAAGATTAGAATTTAGAAACTTGGAATGCGAAAATTTGATATTTAGACATTTGGAATTTAGAAATTTAGAATTTGGAAATTTCATTTGACTGAAAGGTTCATTAATTTTGTAACATTACAGGAGAACTTAGCAATCCTATATTCAATAAATAAGAATCATACACTCAAGAGTCTCTTACTGTCCGAAATTACAGCACTTCCTTCACCATTTACATTTGAATCACCCATTAAGTAATTTCGAATAATCAGCAACACCTTCTAACTGCTAACACAGTTCTGAATGAAAGTCTAAATTGATCATCCAAGAAACCTGGAATTCGAACGGAACGATCGCAAAAATTGACAAACAACAAAAATACGTATACGTGAAAGTACTTTCTATTAGCAGCTAACAGTAACCAAATTTTTACATGTTTCACGCTGCGTTCATTTCCTAGACAACATCGGTTAAAAGTTTCATCGAAGGAACATTTTTTTCCTCCTTCAGAAACCTACTCTTTTTAATTGCAACACAAATAAATAACAGATTCGTGTATAGATTAACCATGATGGAAATATTAATAATCGTTCTAGCTGAACTAAGGAGTAAAGTTACGTTACACTTTCATTTCCTGAAGGGACCTTTTTCCATTTTCTGCCACACTTCATAGTACCATTTGAAATAGTGGAGTGACAAGACGGTTTGGTTTAATCATCGTAAAAGTGAGAGAAAAAGAGAAGGTGTATATTTTGCCAGCGAAACAGTCTGAATACTTATGTCACTCCGAGGTAGCGAATCGCAATTGGTTGACACGCAATCCTGCTTCTGCAATTCAATCGCGGCC